ATTTTGGGAGGACATTTTGAGAGGACATTTTAAGAGGACATTTTAAAAGGACATTTTGGATATTCTGCAAGGACATTTTGAGAGGACAATTTAAGAGGACATTTTAGGAGGACATTTTAAGAGGACATTTTGGATATTCTGCGAAGACATTTTGGGAGGACATTTTAAGAGGACATTTTGGATATTCTGCGAGGACATTTTGGGAGGACATTTTAAGAGGACATTTTAAGAGGACATTTTGGATATTCTGCGAGGACATTTTGGGAGGACATTTTAAGAGGACATTTTGGGAGGACATTTAGGATATTCTGCGAGGACATTTTGAGAGGACATTTTAAGAGGACATTTTGGGAGGACATTTTAAGAGGACATTTTAAGAGGACATTTTGGATATTCTGCAAGGACATTTTGAGAGGACATTTTAAGAGGACATTTTGAGAGGACATTTTAAGAGGACATTTTGGATATTCTGCGAGGACATTTTAAGAGGACATTTTAAGAGGACATTTTGGATATTCTGCGAGGACATTTTAAGAGGACATTTTAAGAGGACATTTTGGATATTCTGCGAGGACATTTTGAGAGGACATTTTGAGAGGACATTTTAAGAGGACATTTTGGATATTCTGCGAGGACATTTTGAGAGGACATTTTAAGAGGACATTTTGGATATTCTGCGAGGACATTTTGAGAGGACATTTTAAGAGGACATTTTGGATATTCTGCGAGGACATTTTGGGAGGACATTTTAAGAGGACATTTTGGATATTCTGCAAGGACATTTTGAGAGGACATTTTAAGAGGACATTTTGAGAGGACATTTTAAGAGGACATTTTGGATATTCTGCGAGGACATTTTGGGAGGACATTTTAAGAGGACATTTTGGGAGGACATTTTGGATATTCTGCAAGGACATTTTGGGAGGACAATTTAAGAGGACATTTTAGGAGGACATTTTAAGAGGACATTTTGGATATTCTGCAAGGACATTTTGAGAGGACATTTTGGGAGGACATTTTAAGAGGACATTTTGGGAGGACATTTTAAGAGGACATTTTGAGAGGACATTTTGAGAGGACATTTTGGGAGGACATTTTGGGAGGACATTTTGGGAGGACATTATGGGAGGACATTTTAAGAGGACATTTTGGGAGGACATTTTAAGATGACATTTTAAAAGGACATTTTGGATATTCTGCAAGGACATTTTGAGAGGACAATTTAAGAGGACATTTTGGGAGGACATTTTAAGAGGACATTTTGGATATTCTGCAAGGACATTTTGAGGACATTTTAAGAGGACATTTAGGATATTCTGCAAGGACATTTTGAGAGGACATTTTAAGAGGACATTTTGGGAGGACATTTTAAGAGGACATTTTGAGAGAACATTTAAGGAGGACATTTTGGATATTCTGCAAGGACATTTTGAGGTCATTTTAAGAGGACATTTAGGATATTCTGCAAGGACATTTTGAGAGGACATTTTAAGAGGACATTTTGGATATTCTGCAAGGACATTTTGAGGACATTTTAAGAGGACATTTAGGATATTCTGCAAGGACATTTTGAGAGGACATTTTAAGAGGACATTTTGGATATTCTGCAAGGACATTTTGAGGACATTTTAAGAGGACATTTAGGATATTCTGCAAGGACATTTTGAGAGGACATTTTAAGAGGACATTTTGGGAGGACATTTTAAGAGGACATTTTAAGAGGACATTTTGGATATTCTGCGAGGACATTTTGAGAGGACATTTTAAGAGGGCATTTTGGGAGGACATTTTAAGAGGACATTTTAAGAGGACATTTTGGATATTCTGCAAGGACATTTTGAGAGGACATTTTAAGAGGACATTTTGAGAGGACATTTAAGGAGGACATTTTGGATATTCTGCAAGGACATTTTGAGGTCATTTTAAGAGGACATTTAGGATATTCTGCAAGGACATTTTGAGAGGACATTTTAAGAGGACATTTTGGATATTCTGCGAGGACATTTTGGGAGGACATTTTAAGAGGACATTTTGGGAGGACATTTAGGATATTCTGCAAGGACATTTTGAGAGGACATTTTAAGAGGACATTTTGGATATTCTGCGAGGACATTTTGAGAGGACATTTTAAGAGGACATTTTGGATATTCTGCGAGGACATTTTGGGAGGACATTTTAAGAGGACATTTTGGATATTCTGCGAGGACATTTTGGGAGGACATTTTAAGAGGACATTTTAAGAGGACATTTTGGATATTCTGCGAGGACATTTTGAGAGGACATTTTGAGAGGACATTTTAAGAGGACATTTTGGATATTCTGCGAGGACATTTTGAGAGGACATTTTAAGAGGACATTTTGGATATTCTGCGAGGACATTTTGAGAGGACATTTTAGGAGGACATTTTAAGAGGACATTTTGGATATTCTGCGAAGACATTTTGGGAGGACATTTTAAGAGGACATTTTGGATATTCTGCGAGGACATTTTGGGAGGACATTTTAAGAGGACATTTTAAGAGGACATTTTGGATATTCTGCGAGGACATTTTGGGAGGACATTTTAAGAGGACATTTTGGATATTCTGCGAGGACATTTTGAGAGGACATTTTAAGAGGACATTTTGGATATTCTGCGAGGACATTTTGAGAGGACATTTTAGGAGGACATTTTAAGAGGACATTTTACATATTCTGCGAGGATATTTTAAGAGGACATTTTAAGAGGACATTTTAAGAGGACATTTTGGATATTCTGCGAGGACATTTTGGGAGGACATTTTAAGAAGACATTTTGGATATTCTGCAAGGACATTTTGAGAGGACATTTTAAGAGGACATTTTGGGAGGACATTTTAAGAGGACATTTTAAGAGGACATTTTGAGAGGACATTTTAAGAGGACGTTTTGGGAGGACATTTTGGGAGGACATTTTAAGAGGACATTTTGGATATTCTGCAAGGACATTTTGGGAGGACAATTTAAGAGGACATTTTGGGAGGACATTTTGGATATTCTGCGAGGAGGTTTTGGGAGGACATTTTGAATATTTTGGGAGGACATTTTGGATATTCTGCAAGGACATTTTTGGGAGGATATTTTGAATATTTTGAGAGGACATTTTAAAGGACATTTTGAGGACATTTTGCAAGCAATAAAGTAACCACTCAAATAGAGAGAAAAATAAGAAATAAAGAATTTAAAAATATGAAGTTAGTTGTTTATTTAATATTATTTTATTGGTCTTAAATAGGACAAAAAGCATATTTGAAGCCTTAAAAATACCAGATTAGAACAATGAAGCTACAAAACAGGACATTTTTAAGATGGGCCTTGAAAACAAAGAAACAATGCAAAAACTTGCACACTTAAGTTTGGCAGGAGATTCAAAAGATCATACATGGTCCTAAATGATCTTTATTGAGCTGAGTGTAGAGTGCTGTTTGATTTTGGGATGAAATGCAACCTGTGGACTGATGCATTCTGAGTAAATGTGAAGCTCATCAGCACTTGTTAATGCTGCTGCTGTTTCCAGTGTTGCTTTCACAACTCAAAGAAAACCCAGAGGCATCCGGGCACTGCTAATACACACACACACACACACACACGCACGCACGCGCACACGCACTCCACAACATTCAGATCAAACGTGAACTAAAGAGCAGCACTACTGACCTCACAGACACATCTGCAGCGTCTTCACAATCCAGAGGAAAACTAAAGTAAACAACAAAAACACACAACTCCTACACAAACTAATGAGGCACATTCAGGTCCCGGGAACGGCTTCATGATCATTCTGCACATCTCTACTCCCAAAGGATCTCCTTGCAGTGATGTTTAGGGTCAATATTACAGTTATAATGTAGTATATGAATGGCTTTACTCGCGTTTTCATTATGATAATTCTGCACATCTTTCAATATTAGATGATGAAACCTCATTCCCACTACAATAATGCAGTCAGATGTTTAGAATTAATATTTAATATGCAACATCTTCATTATGCAATGAGAAATGAGGGGAAAAATGTGCTTCATTTCATGAAAACGACAAATAAAATGTCACAACGGTGTAAAAACGGCTTCATTTTCTCTATGCAGAACGTTTCTCCTTCTGTTTAATGAGATATTGAGCAGAACACACACACACACACACACACACCTGCTGGAGACAGAAATGAGCTACTGCTAAACACTAATCCTAACAGTGATGTCGGTGTCAATCTAGCGGCTTCATTCTAGAGTTTAGATCAGATCAAACTCAGTCCTGGAGGGCCGGTGTCCTGCATATTTTAGTTCCCACCCCAATTAAACACACCTGAAGCAGCTAATCAAGCTCTTTCTAGGTCTACTAGAAACTTCCAGGCAGGTGTGTCTGAGCTAAACTGTGCAGGACACCAGCCCTCCAGGACTGAGTTTGGACACCCCTGGCTTAGATCCGAACAGCTTCTGGGGTTTGATGCAGGGTTCAGCTGGGGCGTGTGTGTTCTCTGAGGGTTTATATCTGAATTAATGGTCCTGTATTAAAGGTAAAGTGTGTGTGTTTGAGTGTGTATGTTAGCTGACATTAATGCACATTCAATTGTTAGGACAACGGTTCTTAAAACTCAATGGTCCCAAGACAAGCCTCAGTTCGCTTGTATATTTTTCCGCATGCTTTCAGAGCGTGTGTATATGAGTGTCATGTGTGTGCGTGTGTTTGCGTGTACATTTCAATATATATAAACATTGAAAAAGAGACACACGATGTGAAGAGTTCATTTGCAAAAACAGACATTCATAAATCACATTAAATACGTGACTTATCATCATAATAATAATAATAATATTAATGCATTCATGATTGTTTTTGCAAAAGAAGTATTCACACACACACACACACACACACACTTGTTTATATTTAATATACACAGTGAAAACTGCTGAAAAACTGTTCTTCCATGATTATTGTTGGTGTACGGTGTGACTTGGACGTGTGTGTGTGTGGTTCAGTATGGCGTCCTGATATACATGAAACACTAAAGCGCACATCATCATCCTCCTCGTCCTCCTCTGGAGCGGAGCTGCTTGTGCTCATTAAAACACTACTGTACAAACAGGGTCAGAGGTCGAGAGTGTGGCACGAACCCTAATGGAGGGACAGCTGAGGGTGCTTTCACTGAGGTCCTGTGCTGCGTGTCAGCGCCGCCGTCCTCCTCGTCCTCTCCTCTTGGCTGAGGTCCTGCCGCGGCCGCGTTCACTGCTCCTCTCCTCCAGCTCTGGCTCCGGCTCTAGTTTCTCTTCCAGCTCCGACTCCGGTTCTGGTTCTGGCTTCAGAGTCTCCTCCGGCTCCAGTTTTTCCTCCTGCTGTGGTGGTGTACTGCTGGTGTTGGTGATCGGGGACGCTGACGGATCCACAGAGCTTTCTTCTGCGATGAGGAGTCCCTCTGCTGCTGCTACTGCTACTTCTTCTGCTGCTTCTGCTGAGGTTGAACCCGAGTCTTCATGCTTCTTTAAGGCTTTATAACGCTGCACAAATCACAAAACCAGCATCATTAAAGCTTGTGAAGTGCTTTGAAATGTGCAGTTTTACTCAAAGTTTGACAAAGGAAGAGAGGCGGAACATAAAGCAGCTCCTCCCTTTATTAAAAAAAGCAGTCCACAGCGTTCTTTGCACTCCATCGCTCTATTATAAACCTCCCATTTAGAAAAGATCTCGAAGACCTTCAGTGGAGAATAGTGAGGGGTATAATATAAATTGATTATAAAATATTGCTTCTCATCTATAATGCTTTAAATAATCAAGCTCCTGTTAATCTAACCAATCTCCCTACAATCCAACTCGCTCTTTAAGATCTCAAAACTCTTCTGTTAGTACCCAGAATAGGAAAGTCCACTAAAGGAGGTCGAGCCTTCTCATATATGGCTCCTCAACTCTAGAATAGCCTTCCTTATAATATCCAAGGCTCAGATATACTTAAAGGCCTATCTTTTTAGTAAAGCATACACTCAATGCATCATATTGTGCTCCATGCAGGTGAGTGGGCTTGACAAACCACCCGTAAGACACACTCGTCCTGTCTTAATGCACCAGGCACTTCTAAAAAAAACACTTGTATGCTTTATGTCCTCTGTGAAGAGACGATGCCAACTATCAAGGACTCTGAGGACAACAATTACACTTACCACCCAAATACACTTCACTGAACATGTACACACAGACATCACCTAAATACTATATCACTGCAGGTTAACTATGCTTATATATAATAACTGTAACTAATAAAGATATTAGTGATGAGTTAGTAATTAATTAGTTGATTAATAATACATTTTCTGATTTTGATTGTAATGCAATAATAACAATGTTTTTCACATTCAAAATTCCCACAGGTTTCTTGTGAGGGTTGGGTTTAGGAGCCATTTACTAAGCAGTGTTTACTGTACTAAGCATATTACACCTATAGAAAGTATGCACAGACATAAAACATGCACACACGTAAATATATATAATATATACAGCAATATCACACGAGTAGCAGTGCGATATGGCTGTATATAAGCACTGGTGGGAGGTGTGCGTTGGCATGAGGCCGTAGGCCAAGTGCCTTAGCGTCCCACCAGTGCTGATATACAGCCATATTGCACTGCTACGAGTGTGATATTGCGTTTATAACAGTTCAACATCACAATCCTGTATATAAATAAGAAAATCAAACACAGAGTCTAAAAACCCTTTTTTTTATTAGGAACTACTTTCTTCCGCCATTCATTCACATCTGCAGCTGACGTCAGAACAGCAGAAGCCGTTACCTATTCACCAACGTCACTGTAGAGCTAGTGTTTCAATTACTCTGTCTAAAGTGAAGACAAAACTGCTGATATTGCTTATATTTTAAGGTTATAAGGCTGAACATGACATGAAATGCCATCAGTCTGCAGAGATATCTTCTTACAGTGTTACAGTCTACAGTATTTCTCTGTTGCAATCGGGATTTCACAATAATTAACCCCGAATCATAACAACGAATCCACTAACGTTACCAGACTGCTGTTGTGTTTGCGATAAGGAATAACTCTAAACACATGCATACTTCGCTTAAAAGTTTTTTTAGAAGGAAATAAAAACGGGATGTTTGCGGGAGACTGAAATACAGGATACACCCATAAAAAGGATACACCCACCCAAAAAGTGTTGGCAGGTGTGCTTACCAGTTTAATATTGATTTGATCTGCTGTAGTTAGAAATCAGACTGTTGTATCTTCTAAGCGTTAGGGCTTATTATGCGGTTCTGTCGCTATCTTGTGGATAGAAAACGTCAACTGTCGCCGACGAGCTCTCTTAGAAATTGTAAATATTTTAAAATAGGCACTATTCTTGCAAATAAACTGCATAGTTGCAATCTAAACAACTACATTCTCCACTAAAAAAGCCTCAAAAGTATATTTGGTTGTCTAACAGCAGTAATATTTGTCAAACTGTAGTGTCTCTGCTTGTTGCTGACTGTATGTGGGCGGAGTAATACACAAAGGGTAAAGAGGCTGTACGGATGCTGATATTACTTAAATATATCACAGCTATCAGCCAATCAGATTCGAAATCCAGACAGAACTGTTGTATAAATATATATACAATTATATATATATATATATATATATATATATATATATATATATATATATATATATATATATATATATATATATATATATATATATATATATATATATATATATATATATACATACAT